AAGGCCGTTCTGGTTCCTTAACCTTGGCCTTTATCGACTTATGGTGGGGAGTCTCCTGTTCCTCATCACTGCTGATTTCGATCAGCCTGGGTGTCGGGGACCTTCCATGGCTGCAGTTTCTTCTCCTTCTATTCACTTCTACCCTCTTATCCTGCTGTTCCAGTTTTCTGACAGGTTCCTTCCCGGGTCTTGTCGGTGTGGCTGTTTCTTGTCCAGCAGGTGAGGAAGGTAGAGTTGGAGACAATGATTTGATACCTGGGCATCGCTCATATCCTGTGAAGTGGTCCATCCGGTCGCACAACCAGCACTGTCTCCTCGTATGTCCACAGGCCTGACCCACCCCTCAGGGACAAGCCAGCTTGCTGCACATGTGCTCTCGAGAGAAATGTTCTCCGAAGTAGAATCGGCACCAGGGGGGGCGACCACCTGTCGCTTCGAAGTGGCCAGTTTTCAGGCACCTACTACATACCTTAAGGGGGCGAAGCTCTTCAAAAACTCGGACATTGCGGGCTCCTCCTCGCAACCAAATCTTTCCCTCCACCAGTCTTTCCTTGATGGCCTCCTTATTTTCCACCACGAAGCGGATGCCGCAACTCGTAGCATTGGCCTGCCTCATAGCGTCTATGGATCCCATAATATCGGGCCCGGCAACAGTGACTATACCAGTATTGGATTGCTCCAGATCAGTGTGAAAGCCATCAAAAGCCGCGCTTCCAGTCCATCCTTCCACCCTCCAAATCGATCCCCATCCTGTGTCAGCAAGCGGAACACCAGAAACAAAAATCTTCACCTTTTTCAGGTTCCTCTGGAATTCAACCTCCGGGAGTGACAATTCCCTAAGCAGATCAAGCCTGGCCTTGTCTAATCTGTTGTCTAGCTCTGTCATGGAGTGTGCCGCCAAGGTCAGGAAGATGCATCCAATTTCTGGCCGGACATGTCCTGCGAGAATATGAGGAGCATTTCCCTGTATCTTTCCCTAATTGGAAAAGGTCGTATTGATCCGATTTCGGATTGCCTCAATATCGACACCCTCTAGCAGGGCAACCTTCCTCCGAGTGGTGAAGCGCATGGTGATGTGCCTCCCTCTAGCATTCGGGGTTGGCGACAAGCGCGGTGGTGGTGGTACCGAGTTTAGTGGGTCTGGGGGTCCCATTGGTACCTGTCGGTATTCCTGTCATGTCTGAGCTACCCCTATTTTGACGCTGGCCAGCGCTGCTAGCCCGGACTAAGCCACCGTAGTAACCCGTGTCACAACCTTCGGAGCCGATTCTTGTTTATCAGCCTTTCCCTGAGTCTCGGCTGGGGCCGCCGCCTCCCTTTCTTCACCAGATCCTCTGGTAGCCTTTCTCCTCCTTCTAGCAGCCCCACTCAGGTGTTTGCCACATTTCCTTCGTTCTTTCCTTTTTTCTTCTTCTTCCTCCCCCTCCTCCTCTTCCCAGTAAACAGACTTGCCTTCGCCTCCATAGGCTACTCGCCAGACTACCCCCCTTCACTGGAGGAGCTGCCGCAGCTGCTGGACTGGTGGGATGAGGCCGCTGATGCAGGCCAGGCAGGACGTACCTGTTCCTGTCGGCCAGCGGGGGGCTTGGACACATATGCCATTCATTTTACTACCTCTGCAGAAGAGGCTTTAGTAGTAGGAGCCTCCGTAGAGGCCTCCATTCTCTTAGGGGTAGGGGATGGCAGGGTTGGCTCCGAAGAGACAGCAGAGGTGCTGTGAGGTACAGCAGGGGGGGGGCGGCGGCGGGGGGACAACTTTACCTGAAGGGTTTCAATTTTCTCCCCTTGCCTGCCAATAATGTCAGTCAGCGCCTTAACTGCCCGTTCTAAGACATAAACTCGACTCCAGTAGTTCATCCAGTTCCTCGGACCTTCATCGTCAAAGGTGGGGCCACTGTTCATCCAAGTTTGTACGTCCTGTACTGTGTCGTCTTCAATCGACCCGGACTCCGAGGAGAGAAGAGGCTGAGTATTGCCAGACTGGATGTCTTCCAGACCTTCCAACATGGACCCGATTACACTACCTGAGCAGGATCCAGGAGAGGGAGTCCTACCAGCATCCAGCATCTCACAGACACTCGCCATGATCGAGTCCGCTTGAGCTACCACAGCGTCGGCACTCTCTGGTTGGGTTTCTGGGAGCTGAACTTCCAATGGAGTTGAATCGCCACTGGGGGCTTCTGAGGGACCCTCTAGTTGGCCTCCAGGAGGTGACACCCATCGCCCAGTAATAGCTGGAGGTGATGAACCCATAGCTGGTGAAGGGGCGTGTAAGCTATTGCCCAAACCAGTCGCTTCCGAGTTGCGCCCATCGCCTAAGCCCATAGGGGTGTCTCTAGCCATCACCCCAGAAGTGGGTAGGACATCCTCAGTCATCAGCGGAAATGGAGAAAGGGGTATGGCCTTGATTGTCGATGGGAGCACCGCAGGCGGAGGGATGGCTAGGCGCCCCTGGTGAATGCCTAGAGGTAGGCCAGGAAGAGCGGGGACAATTTGTTTTTTCCATCCCTCATCAACATTGATAGCCCTCAAAAATTGGGGACCAAGGAGAGGAGCAGCAGATCGCTTAGGGGGAGACGCCGACCGCGTCCAGTGGCATGTTCCAGGGGCAGAAGGGTTGTAATCCTCGTCATCAGAGTCGTCCAGTTTGAACGTCGGGGTTTTATAAAGAGCCCTTTCTCCTGAAGACATTCCTGCCAGAAAGGAGGGAGTCGAAGAGCCGGTCCAGGCATTGTGGGCCTGGTGGAGGAAGCTGGGCATCTTGCTTTGGACAGCCTTAGCGAGGGGAGGAGTAGCAGACCAAGAGCGGGCCTCAACCGTGGTGGCAGTCGAGTTGTCCTTGGCGGGGGGGATGGAGGATTCAGGGACTACAGCCTGAGAATCTTTAGGAGGGGAAGGTGCGGGAGCTGGAGAGTATTCCGAGCCACGGTCTGAGTTGAACCGAACGAAGAGTCCTGTGGTAGTGTCTTTGTTCAAGCCACATGTGGCTGAGCAGCCTCTCCCGATCAGGAAACCTCTTACCAAAACCTCCACTTCTTTCATTTTGGCAACGGTCGCATCGGCGACTGTTTGCCGAACCAAATTATCAAACTGTGGGTTAACTGCGTTCTGGCACCTGTGACAGTAGTGAAACTGTAGGAAACTAAAGTTCCCTTTGGGTGCAACATATGACCGTGTAGTTGCGGGGATGAAGCCACAGTCAGCCTCAGTAGTGGGTGCAAGAGACAAGGCCGCATGTGCTGTCTCAAGCGAGGAGGAAGGGTTGGAGCCAAACCGAACAGAGGACAATATCCTCAAAGGGGGGGGAGAATCCGTGGATGAGGAGGCTGTCGAAGACGCCATCTTCGCCCAAACTATACTCAGTGATTACCGGGACCAGGCCAGAGATATCTCACATTGAAGTATCTTCTAAGCAAGAACAACTACTTCTAACCGACCGCCCGAAACGAAAACCACAAACAAGTAACAGCAGATGAAGTATTTATCACGAGCGAAATAAGGTAAAGTATTGGTTATGCTCACTTCTAACATGGAGTGCAAGAAGTAGGATAAGTACTTAGAACAAAGCGTGAAGAACCTATCTTCCTCAGCCGCCTCGGCCTCCTTATATAGTATTCTTCCCGCTCATAGTCATGTGACCTAAAGTGGTCACATGTGCGAAACCAAATCATAACAAACTAGTCATGTGACCAAAGTGATCACATGCTCAAAACTCATGACCTCATAGCGAGGTCATGTACAAAAACTCATAAACTAATCATAACGCAATAAACAAGTCATATGACTCGACTGAGTCATATGCGTAAAACCTATGACCTCATAATGAGGTCATGTGCGAAACATAAATCATATGGGCAAGGCTTACCCGCAAGGTACACTCGCAAGGCATACTCTCCAAGCACACATCCCATGACTTATACATGAGCCATGTGCGAAAGCATCACAAATCCCACACATAACAAATCATATAACCGGAATGAGTTATATGTGTAAAACAACTATATACTTGTGACTCATAATCATGTGTCATGTGAAAACCTTTTCCCTGCCAAGCCACGTTCGTGACACTCTATCAATAAATTTTTTATGGAGTTGATAGGCATGTACGAAAAGTGTTGGTTTGTATTGAAAACCAGGAGGGCACATTTCTTCTATTGCCAGGCTTGTGGAGTGCCCTTAATACCAAATGATGGGCGATTTGGTAGCTGCTGTGATGTGCTGGGTGGCAAAGATGCGCCAGGTCATGGTGGGCAGCCCCTGGAAGAACTTGTTGTTTGCTCAGGAGGATCACAAAAGGGATCCTAACACGCCCCAAAGTGGCATCCAGGGCACCGCTTTCGGACCTTCATCGTAAAAGATCACTCGGGATATGAACCGATATCATACCCACAGCGGATGCGGGGATCAACCAGTGAGGTCTTGAGGTACTTTCGCGACTCTCGAAGGCTCAGGCTGGGGGAGGTATGATACAGTACGGTACTCCCGGTACATGAACTGGCGAGATCCGGCAGACGTTACTTGTACTTGTAGTACGTTCAAATACGATTTTTATCCTTGCCCAATCCCAAAATTGCAATAAAAGGCCATATCCTAACTCTTTATAGCCAGGACTAAACTTTTCCGGGCTCTCTCTTTGACGCAAACGTAAATTTCATTTCAGCCTCTTCCTATTCCGAGGCAAAAGGGTTCGCCGGTCCCCGCCAGCCATGCGGAACCCAGAACCCCACATCCCACCGCCTATTCACGTGATATTGCTACTCATTGCCCCAGATTGGGCATCCCCGGTCAACATCGGGCCCAGCCCCTGGTTAAATTTCGGAACAAAAACCAAATGTTCCGAAGTTAATGCCTGCGGCTACAGTGGTTTGGCGTTAGTTGAGTCCCTCGGCAACGACCAGATTTCGTTCGCTCGGGGCAGCTGACGCCGAATTCTACAGCTATCAACAATCCTATAAAGCTATAGAGAGATCTTGCCAGAGTACCAGTATGTTTTGTTTGGTACTGATATCCCCCTTTCCTCCTCTTGACCGAACTACTCGTAGAAATCTCACCTTGAACCAGGAAGAGGAACACGGAGATCCGCCGCGCAGGGTTACTTTATCCGCCCCACCTTTCCCCCTCTGTCCCTTAAATTACCCTATCGATACTAACGATAAACCCAGGTACAGTTTGTATGCATACCGTGTTATGATACTCCCTTCAGCCTGATTATGACCAATAGACTTTAGTAGGCTGCAGGGTTTCCCCACTATAACCTAATAAATAGCTATACTACTCCCTTACCCACAGTTTCTCGAGAATGCCCTCATTCAACGCACGCCTAGCCTCCATCACTGCACACATGTCTCCTCCTGTTCCCACCTCATTCGAAGCTGTGCCATTGGCACCAGCTGACCCTTTGTTTGGTCTTGCGGCCGCCTGCAAGGCAGATACTTGTGACAGGAAGGTCGATTTGGTTGTTGGTGCTTATCGTGATGACAATGCTAAGCCGTGGATCTTGCCAGCTGTTAGGAAGGTTTGTTCGTTAATTTTCCGCTCTAGAATGAGGTGCCAAGCTTGGGAACTAATTATTTGTCATAGGCGGATGCCATTCTCGCAAATGATCCAAATTTTAACCATGAATATCTTCCGATCGCTGGTTTGCCTGCTTTTACGTCAGCTGCCGCTAGGTTGATTCTCGGGAAGGATTCGCCAGCAATTCAGGAGTCAAGGGTGATTCACCCTTCGCTCCAGTTTTTTGAATAGATGGGACGTTAACAATTGCTCAGGTCACTTCAGTGCAAACCATCTCTGGCACTGGTGCAGTCCATCTTGGAGCCTTGTTTCTCGCTAAGTTTTACCCTCGCCCACAGAACCAGGAAGTCCACCTTTCAAGCCCCACCTGGGCAAACCACCACCAGATCTTCACGAATGTTGGCCTCCCTCTTGCTTCCTACCCCTATTTTTCGGCCAAGACAAAGGGGCTTGATTTCGAGGGACTTCAAGCAGCTCTTGAATCTTCCACGGACGGATCTATTATCTTGCTGCATGCCTGTGCCCACAATCCTACTGGTGTAGACCCTACACGCGACCAATGGGTTAAGATTGCCGAGATAATTCGCAAGAAGCGTCACTTCCCATTCTTCGATTGCGCATACCAGGGCTTCGCTTCCGGTGATTTGGCCAACGACGCCTGGGCAATTAGGTACTTCATTGAGCAAGGATTTGAACTTTGTGTTGCACAGTCGTTTGCAAAGAATCTGGGTCTCTATGGAGAGAGGGTTGGATGTTTCCATTTCATTTCCCCCCCATCTCCTTCCGCTGCCGATGCCAACAAGAGAATTGCCAGTCAATTGGCAATCCTACAGAGGAGCGAAATCAGCAATCCTCCAGCTTATGGTGCTAGAATCGCCAGCGCGGTCCTAAACGATGAAAAGCTGTTTGCGGAGTGGGAGGATAATCTCAGGGAGATGAGTGGACGCATCAAGGATACGAGGAAGGCATTGTTTGACAAATTGGGCGAGCTCGGGACACTTGGCAATTGGTCACATATCGTAAAGCAGATTGGGATGTTTTCTTTGTGAGCCTCCTCTTTCGGGAGTCCGGAAACAAGCGCGAACTGATAATTCGTAGCACTGGTTTGACTGAGAAGCAAGTGTTGAAACTCAAGGAGGAGTCTCACATTTATTTGACCAAGAACGGACGTATCTCGATGGTATGTTCTAACTTTGACTTCTTCTCTTCTGAGTTCAGAATGCTAACAACCCTTTTAGGCTGGTCTAAATTCCCGAAATGTGGAGTATTTCGCTATAGCTGTGGATAAGGTAGTTAGGGAGGTGACCGAATAAATTTGGGTCTTGGTGAGCGTAAAAACTCGAATACCAGTAATTGAACCAAGTGCTATGTCGTTGGAGTTGCCTTCTCTAGTATAGTCTGGTATGGTCTGGTGGGGGGATTTTTTTTCCTGTTTTCTTGCTACCTTCTTTACCCTTCCCAAAGCATGGAATTCTCGACTACGTATCATAGCACACAATTCCACCATTTGAGCCCTTGCGATAGAAGTTCAGCGAGAGATCAAGCGTTGATTTGTCACAATTCTCTACTCGAAGAATATCTAAATACCTTTCCAGTCCTCTATTCCCTGGCAATTAGTCTCTTCCTCTGGCAGCGATAGAAATTAAAATGAATAAGTAAACCCTTCATTTGAAAACTTGCATCCAAGCAACTTGCAGTGCTGTTGGCTCTTGTGGCATCAGTACTGCACTGTACAAGTAAGTGCCCATTAGAAAGTTAAGTTGGTTAACCCGCAGAATAATCCCTAACTGGGATTGTTAACCGGAAAAATAAGCCCTCTCTTGTACGAGAACATCTCCCCTAGTATGATACTTGTTCTTGTATCATACTGGTACCTGTACTCCAGTACCAGTACTTTAACAAAATTACTGGTGCCATAAATCTTAAGGTAACCCTAACCCTAGTTGTCACTATTTAGACACGTGACTCTTTGCGATTACAATTTGACTACCTTACATCGATTTCCTCGCGGATCTTTCATCTAAGACTCGACACAACTACGATTCCCACAATAATCATGGTACTTGTAAACTACGCTTCGAGTGATGATGAGGAAGCTGGCCCCTCGTCAAGCGGAATCTCCAATCTCGCCATAACCTCGTCGACAAAAGTTATTGCCGCCCCCGATGTCTCCCTGGAAGTTGAGTATTCCAATCTACTTCCCAATTCAAACAACACTAGCTAATACCCCCATAGGACCCTATGCAGCTCCGCCAGTCCCTAATAAAGTCGACAGACAAAAAGATTACAACAAACATGACCTATGACCAGCTTTCCGCACCAGTGGTCGGCCCCTCAAACCCTTTTCTATCCGCCGAGAACGCATCGCGAAAACGCAAAAACGTACTCACAGGGTACGCCGAAGAGTCGGCAATCTCTGACTCTACTTTCCGTACACAGCAGCGGACATTTATATCCTTGGGGTACGCGAAGGATCCCTCCCTCGTAGCCAACGGAAACTCTTTTGTTGGGAATCAGGACAGTGTTGTTTTACACGGGGGCAAAGACGTAGTCCAACTACGACCCTCGCGGCAAGAAACCGACGCGATCAAACGGAAGAGGACGAAAAAAGGGGATCCGTCGATTCTCGAGGGGGAAAACGCCTACGTGGGTCCCTGGGCGAAGTACAATGAAGCTAATACGCTGTCGGAGTCTGAGGATGAGGATGAGGAAGAAGAGGGTGAAGAGGAGTATTCTGCGCCTACGTCAAACCCTATTGTCGATAAGGCCGGCAAGGAGTATCTGGATGTGAACACTGGAGGCATTGGGAAGGAGACCACGGAGTTCCATGGATCGCAGTTGCGGGATTATCAGGGAAGGACGTACATGCACGTTCCTCAGGACCTAGATATCGATTTGAAAAAGGAGCCTGGAAGCTGGACAAATTATATCCCGAAAAAGTTGGTGCATACTTGGAAGGGACACACAAAGCCTATCACTGCATTGCGATTTTTCCCGGGAAGCGGCCATCTGTTGTTGTCTAGCAGTAGTGATGCCAAAGCCAAAGTATATTTTATCCCCATTCCCCCTCACACTAAAACCGATGGCTAACACCATTGTAGATTTGGGATGTCTACCATGATCGTGAGCTTCTCCGCACATACAACGGCCACTCAAAGGCTGTCACAGATATCACCTTCAACAACTCTGGTAGTCAATTCTTAACAGCTTCGTACGACCGCTACATGAAACTCTGGGATACGGAAACTGGAAAATGTCTTCATCGTTTCACAACTGGCAAGATACCGCATGTCATCCGGTTTAATCCTGACCCCGCTCTCCACCACGAATTCGTTGCAGGCATGAGTGACAAAAAAATCATCCAATTCGACACCCGCACAGAGCAAGTAGTCCAGGAATACGACCACCATCTCGGCCCCGTAAACACTATCACCTTCGTGGATGAAAACCGCCGTTTCATCACAACCTCGGATGACAAGTCGCTGCGGGCCTGGGAATACGGCATCCCAGTCCCTATCAAATTCATCGCGGAGCCTTACATGTACTCCATGGTCCGTGCCTCGCTTCATCCCTCGGGCAAGTATGTCGCGTACCAGTCCGGCGACAATCAAGTCGTAGTTTACGCCGCGACGGATAAATTCCGCCAGAACCGTAAGAAGGCCTTCCGCGGACACAACAATGCCGGGTACGCCATTGATGTAGACATTTCCCCTGATGGTCAATTCCTCATGAGTGGGGATTCTGGCGGGTTCTTGTGCTTTTGGGATTGGAAGACTTGTAAAATGTATCACAAGTTTCAGGCTAGCGATGGGCCGGTTGTCGCGGCCCAGTGGCATCCGCAGGAGAGCAGCAAGGTTGCTAGTGCCGGACTGGATAATGTTATTAAGTTCTGGGATTAGGAAGGGGAAAGAATTGGATGTCAAGTCCGTTAGGTTGCGGGAGGGAACGGAAGAGGGGGGAGGGGAGGCTAAATTGTATTTTAAATATCAATTTTTTCTGGAGTGTTTAGGATTAGATGAGTGATATGTTTTTTTCGTTCTGACGTCTACCCCGGAGGCTCACTCGGGCGGTTACCCGATATATGATACCCCACTATATATGTCGGGATCTACCTTACCGGAGTTATATCATATCATACTAGTTACTAAACGAAATTATGTCGAACACAAAGCACTCATCGCGCGCCTACTTTCCGCCTAGCCTTGGCCTCATACCACACATATCCTCACAATATCCCACAAAAACCCTTCTCACTCGAACTGTTGAATAAATTCTCTCTCCCCCCCCAAAAAAAAAACCCCTGCAGGACTCCCTACCATTATACACTACAACGAATTCTTCACGAAACCTTGCACACCAGGTACAAGTACGGTAACAACGGCACACACCCACACTCGGGTTGGGTTAGAATAGTCGTGTCTTCACGCAAGAGTCTGGAGGGTCCGCAGCGCGAGTAGTGCCAGCATGACAGCATAATGAGCACAAACACGCAACTTTTTATGCGATCCCGAGATTGGGCGCGTCTTGAATTTGTACGGCCGGGGAGTATAGACTAGGCTGGACTAGACTAGACTGACTGTTATTATCCGGCGCTGTCATGGCTAATCACTCGCCTGCTCCGGGAGGCACGGCTACCCATATGTAGACTATTCCTCTCTCCTCTTTTGGGAGTAGACTGGCGGTCTCGGGTAGGTACTGTGAATGTTTGATGTTTACGGTCAGTGAACGAAATTGTTGATCGAATGCGGTGGTGAGCTCCGGAGCACCGTACGCAGGAGGGTAACGGGACGGTTCGCCAGAAGGACGGGAGCATGTTAAAATGTTATGACAGTACAGTACAGGTTCACGGACAAGTATCTCTGTGGCATCAAAATCACATCAATACGAGTAAACGTAAGCCATTAGTAGACCATAGTAATTATCTCCTCTCACTATATATCCTTTAGACATCCTTTTATGTACGATTGTAGGGCAGTAGTCTATATACTTATCACCCCGTCGAAAACGCCCAGAAAAAAGAAATGATGACGATGATGATAGCAATGATGATGTGGTATCTGTAGAAATGAAAAGGAAAATATAAGGTTGTTACAGGGGAAAAAGAGAAAAAGGACCTTTATATAAACAAGGAAAAACGTCCCATGGTGGGGTAGGTACGCCCGTAGTAGCGCGGTCCGTCAACTAAAAAGGAATTATGGTATAAAATAGAGTAGAAATAGAAAGCATGAAATGTCCCCTTCTATCCCAGTTCGTACCTCGTTAGGTTGTCTAGTGCAAGTTTCAATCAGCTTCCCGCATACAATGTCTATTAACAGCTCAACTTACAATACTCGCGAACCACATGACGGCTCCAATCACTAGGACCCGTACTCTAAAGTCCGCCCATAATCCTCCAGAACTGTCCCCCTGAGAACCCTCTGCACCCGAACTCAGTCTCGCACCACCGCCGTCTGTTCGCGTGGCCTTGAGTTGGGAAATTTGTACGTCGATGTAATCTTGGCTGCGGTCCAGTGTCTCGCTTCCCTTGACTTCCCCATCGTCACTCGTTATCGGAAGACTCGGTTTACGCAGCATGGGCCGGATGCCCATAATCCACGGAGTCAAAACCTCCGCCGCCCTTCCCACGCGATGGCTGAGGTATAGGAATAACAGAGTCGCCAGAGCGAAATTAGTTATCTTTCGGGATGAGCCAAAGGCTCCAAGTTCCAGGAGCCCTTTTGAGTCTGCGGCCATCCAGATATGGTTTTGTAGAGCGAATGCTTCTAGCGAACACTTTCCGAGGCAGGAGAAAGTATATGAATGTGCATTGCGGAGTTGCGGTGTGGCGTTGCGGAGAGCTAAGTATGATAGTACCGGGATGAATGAGATATAAGGATGATAAGCACTATATTCGCCATCCTCCCCTCTCGAGGCCAAAAACAAGTAAAACAGCAGAATAGCGAGGGCTGAAATAGCAACCGCATATCGGCGAGCGAGGAGAAACCATCTAGTAGAAGTGTACGAGTTTTCGTTCGCTCTCGAGAACAAAACCGAGCCCACCATTCCAGTGTAAACCATCCACAAATCAGAAACAATGTAATCCCTCCATACCAAGACATCCCATTGCGACCCTGCAGCAGCTCCAAAAACGAGGAACACGATCTCCAATATACCCGGCAATAGCCTAGTAGCTATAGCAGAAACAAAGATCTTGCCAAGCAAGAACTTGACATTCGAGTTATGCTTTTCGCCAATCCATAACGTCAAGTAAATGATCAAGAACCAATAAGTCGCCAATGGTGCAAGGTAATAGAAAACATAGTTGGTCCCCATCATATACGGGAGAAGGGCACTCAAGAAATTTAACCTAATCAAGACAGCTACACACCGTTTGAGCGTGTAGTCCTGGCTCCTGAGAAGATATAGGGAGTAGCCATATCCGTTCAGAAACAAATATGCAGCGACTGATAGCCGATAAACTGCATTAATCTTAGCACTCTCTATTCCGCCAGTATAGTCGCATATAAGCATGGTGGCCAGGAGCAACCCTTTCCACTCATACCACTGCTCCCTACTCAAAAGCGGCTGATCCGAGGTAGCGGCAGGTGCTGTCCTCCTAATTGCTATCAGCCCCAAGAAAAGAGTCCCAACAAAGAGCCAGAGCATGTCTGAACTGTGAAATTGCTTCTGAGATTTGCCAAAAACCTGAGTGCGGTCTGCGTAAAAGCAATAAATCACAACGAGTCCGAATATCAACAAGGAATGGATTATCTCATTTGAGGGAAGCCAGTTGAATTGGCTTATCAAGGAGGCAGGTGTGGCCTTAATATCTAGGATATTGTCAGTGACCCAATACCCTCCCTAGGGACTTGATTTCACACCTCCGTGTCTCATATATATAATTGTGGGAAGGACAGCCAGAACAAACACGAGCGCCAGCCATTGGATATAATTTGGGGGATGATACTTATTGCAGCAAGTCCCATCATAAGGGAAGCGGGTGATTTCCCCATTACATCTCAAGTTCAGTAGAGCTTGGGCCTGCTTGTCGGCAGCCTCTTCCTTAATATGGATACCCGAGCTCTGGTAAGTTTGTGGAAGATCTCTCATCATTTCGTCAAATGCCCAAAAAACATCTACTCCTTGGAAGGCAGAGAGTTGTTTTAGGTATGCATTCATGGCGCCAATTTTATCGGGTGTGATAGTTTCCCTCCGATCATCAGTGAGCCATTCGTACTGTGGGACAAGCACCGGGGCAAGCAGCAAAATATCGGACCCTGCCAAGTCCGTACTAGTCCGACCCTCCCGCATATGCTGCACAACATCATCGATATTATCCTTCCACTTCTTAAGCCCGTTGAGATTCTCGTGCCTCGCGTACCACAACCCTGAACCCATCAGAACCAATGCCGCAGAGCCAGAACCCACGCCCGCGGTTCCGCCACCAAATTCGGCGAGCTCGGTAGCTAAAGCACTGGAATTGAGATAGGGATCCCAAATGAATTTCAACGTGACGTCGCCTTTGGTAACAGATATATCGATATGTTCCCCAACTGCTTGTGGGCGGGCTTCCGGGTCGAGCGAGCGAGCGGTAGCCCAAAATATCTCCCGGACGGTCATATCCCCAATGAACAAAGCCCGACGGTTCGCAAGGCAGGATTGGATATCTTTCGGATCGTACTTTCGAACAGTACACCCCGGGACCTGCCAGTTGCTGGGGATCGTGCCATTGAAAGTCGAATCAAGCCACTCTCCGTCATTGAGGAGGGCTCCGCATTTGAATGGATCCTTTGCATCTATAGAATCAAAACTCGAGCTACACGTCAGAGCCCGAACCAAGGCAAACCAAGTTCAAGTGATATCGCCCGATATCACGTAACAAAAGTTCTTGGGATTGCGATCTTACCATACCAGCAATAGCGAATGATCACCCCCAGTATCGTTATAGCAACAAATACAGCTGAAATGCGATCGAGCACAGCTAAGGCTGAAGACGGACGGGAGATATTGAGATGAGCCATGGTGGGCGAAGAGGTCTACATGCAGTTGTGGGACCGCGGGTAATGAATGTTCCTGCGTGAAGAACAGGCCGGAAGAGGACGAGGAGGCCAAATGATCCCGACAAGGACGCTGCCCAACAAAAAAGAAAGCCAGATTGCCAGAGGTGAAGCGAGTGTTGCTGTTGAAGGAGGGCGATGGGGTGAAAGGGGCCGAGCAGTAGTAATAGCAGTCAATCGAGGAGAAAGTGGGAAGTGGGAGAGGGAAACCCGGGGGTGTGATATGTGCCAGTAACAGAGGGTCAGAAAGTAGCACACGACAGCAGCCCAAGCTTGGCCAGCGGTTATGATGGAAAGGGAAGAACTGTGCGCCCATCCATCCCTTCCCGGCTTAGCTGTTGTACAAGTACCTGTCAGTAGAGATCAGTGATACGGCAACTTATTTGGAACGAGAGGATTAGAGGTTAGATTGACTTATTTCAGGTAAAGTAGACCCCCAAGGTGTTTGGAAGAGAGAAGGATAGAGAAGGAGAAGGAGAAAGGCCAAGTTCGGAGGAAAACGATCACGGTGTCCAAAACAGACGAGATCCTTGTCAGAAAGAGCAAGCTGCAGGTTAGGTGCCAGTAGACCGTGTCCTGCACCACCAAGATCCGATTGTTCTCTCTTGCACCAGCATTTCATCACCTATCATAGTCCCTCTTCTACTCCCTTTTTTTTTCCTGTCATGGAAAAGAACGTCCTGGCTTACAATACCTTCCGCTGCATAATCTACGGAGAGTGAGAGCGGTGCAGTGGTGAATTCATTGGGTGACCCATGATAGTACAATTCTCGAGTACTTGTATCATATTGTACTGTGCCACGAACGCCTCCAAAGCCACCCCCGAATCCCCAAACCACAACATGGCACTCTATCATGAGAGCTTGAATACCGTAGAAGATGAATATCGTATGCTGGGATCTTGGAATCCTCTTTTCGCCTAACCCACCGCCTCACTTGGAGGAGCAACTATGGTACCGGTACAGTACCACGCTTTGCTCTGTGTCCTACCAATATCCACACCCCCCGGTTGGGTCCTCCGCCTTTTCTCTGGCTCGCGCCTCCTCTCTGCCTGGGCCCAGCCTTTTCCCTCCCCTATCCCTCCTCTCACCGCCAACTCCACAAGTCCCATTCTCACAAAGCCTTCCGTGATTCCTGTCACTCCTTGTTGCATGGTACTGTACACGCGTACACTGCCGTGCAAACACCCTAATCCTCTGATGATATTGTCCAAAACTCAGCGAACCATCTTCAGGGATGTTACCGGTATTGGAACCTCCTATTGTGCTAGCATTCCTCTCGGCCTTTCGTCCTCAGTGGGTCGGAAGTCCGCATCTACCGGTACCCTATACTCTCGCCTAACTTGCCTTATAATATAGGTATCATACATGATACAGATGAAGCAGTACGGAACTCCACAACCTCTACCCCTACGGTATGATACTCAAATCCCCAAGCCCTCAGCAAACCCCACTTCCATTGGCCAGAATGCAGCACGGGAGATGGCAGAATTCACGACGGTGCTCTTGACATCCGGGAAATCCCGCCCGATCGATCATGGGTAGCAACAGTTGCTCTTCCCCCGGAACAAAGAATTTTACACTGAGTGGTTCCACTTGGTGTGTGTACCCGTAACGTGCACCAGCTCCCCCGATACACCCAGTTATCGCAAGCTTGAGCTCTGGTTGCCGAACTAACAAATCCTTTATGGTACAGTACGGTACAAGAATGAGCCGCTTGCTTTTATGCAGGGTTCGATGGGTTCGCATAAACGCAACCTTACAGCATACAAGTACTGTACAGTACTACCGGTAACTCCGCTACCGACTGCTACCCTACGATACTCGAGTATATAACCTCACCCAACCAACACTATAAGTAGGCGCTAATTACATACAGGAAGGACGGCACGTGGTGAAGGTTTTATTCAAGACCCTAAGAGCCTCACCCTGGCCCCGGAGTCGGCACCCCGGTTTGGCTCGCTGCCGATCAACAGTCTTTTGGGCTTGGTCTTGCGGTTCATCTCTTTTTTTTCTTCTTTCCCCTTTGACAGGGAATACGACGCGCTCTAATGATTCAGTCGTCATCAGTCACCCTAGTACCGGTAACTTGACTTCATATTCAAGTGCTCGTACGGCAGAATTCTGACAGCCTCTCGTCCCTCAGCTGCACTGCCCCCGGATTCCCGGGTTAGGAACCATTAGTTAGGTTCGTGTCTATATCACTCGAGTATGCCATCTCACCACTTGATACTCCCGATTTTTCATCCCAGGCGATAGGTTTGTGTTGTGCTGTAGGAAATACCACGCAGCCTAGGCATCCAAGCTCGCAAAACAGGAGAGCTATGCAACTTTCAGCCCCCGGCCGTCCCCCCTCTCCCTCGGGCGCAATTCTAAATGGCCATTGAGTCTCGGGGAGTAGTTGATGTGTATGGATATTGTAGAATATAGTAACAACCTTCTCTTTAAGATTTATTTCTTATAATATGCAAGGCTGACAGAAAAATGTATTCGACAGAACATACCAGTGACCTTATTTATCTGATTACTAGATTGTGATTAATCGTGCTCGCCTAAATGCCAAATGTGGGGAGAGCGCTCTCTCAAAACACAACCAAGATCCCAAGGCCGATTGACAGACAGCCTGGTCCGGCACCGTTCTGCTGTTATCATATGCTACTCGACCAATGGTGTATGACTGGAACTGTACTACTACTCAGGGCTGGGGCCAAAGGCTCAGCTTTGCGCAAACTTCTCGAGTATGGGTAGACTCGATCATAGCTAATTACTTGACAAACTATCTATCAAACAAGCGTCGGATACATCCCTGCGCAGCCGGACCCTCCTAGGATATCTCACCATGGTTAGCACGGGGTCCGTCTAGCAGGGCGTTCTTTCGAGATTCAAATGTTGGGAGGCATGTTTGGCATTCACTTGGCCCAGATATGTGCCGAAATGCGAGTGGATCGATATTTCACCATTACATCTCTGTTATTGGCGGGATAGCTCCGTTCAAGTACGGGGTTTCTGTGATCGTGGGGACTGGCCAAAGAAATACTGTGCCGAGTCATATTTCGTGCTTACAACGCTGTACGTAGTTGGCTCCACTGGTCCGATCTTTAGATTTACCAACAGGTTGGTTAGGACGAACTTAAGCCGGAAGGGGATTTTCCTATAGCTGACATTGGTAATAACATAACTAAGGCGAACTACTAATGTGTCACAACTTCAGTATGATGCAAGAAAGGTGAAAAGGGTCGAGTTTTGTTCATACCAACATTCCTTTGGCCAAATTGACAGGGGCAGGTTGCTTCTTGCCGAGCGAGTGATAATTTATGTATGTGCTCACGGAGTTGTTCGGACTCTTAAAACCTTGATAAACAAGGGTCTAAAACAAATAGATAAGGCCCTATTTGGCAATTCGAGAGAAATGGCACATTTTTCCACCATAAAAATTAAAATTAAAATTAAAAATTAATGGAGGAATGTTTGGCATGTGCTGTACTGTACTGTACAGCACATTGAAATGCCATTCTCCGGGTCTGGGCCCTCTCGGCCATGTTCTCATACCATATCAGCTGTGAATATGATATTTTTCTCAAAAACTTAGGATCTTATCCTGGAGATATGCCATTTTTTTTTAAGGTTTGTGTGCCAAACAAGGCCTAAATTAACTTTATGTTTGGCTACGGTATGATACTTGTAGCTTGTCCAACGCCTATCCCCTTTTTACTCTCACTTTATTGTGGAAATTCCTTTTCTTGGCATTGATGGCCAGCCACCAGTACTGCCCATGCAACATCCAGGTTCTGGTGGGGCTGCAACGATTCATGCATGAAGGGTTAGAACTAGGCCGAACGGTAATTTCCTTTCCCTCATAGACAAAAGGGCTCTATAATTACAGAGTTCCGTTCGCACTATGCCATAACCTGTCGAGACATTCAGTCCAGTTTAGAATTTGGAACCCTAACTGCATTTGGTTAAGTGCGGCGAGAGTTCTCAACCTCACAATAACAACACCAATCAAAGAACTATTTACTCTCGTGTCCGGCAGTCAAAGCTACAATGCTACCAAAAAGAAAAGCCTTTGCAGAAGTGTCAGGAAATGCTAGTCAATCCACATATATTCCCAAACCTAATACTAGTAGTCCACCCAAATGGCAGCGATGCCAGTCAAAGTCTTATTTTGAAGAAGCAGTCTCCGTACCTGTGATGCCCAGGGAGGGGAGCTTGCCTGGGGGGCTTGGTAGTACTCTCAGTAGTGGGTCTAAAGGGCAGGCATCAGATGGGAAAAAGATAGGTGTAAGAAAAAGGGTTGGGGCAGGAACTCTGCCGGGTGTGCCTCAGTTTGAACCCTCTCACTCACCCTATCCGGAACATTCAGCGAAGGTAGGGGAGTTCTGTTTTCTAACATGAAAAGGTTATACTGTGAATTCTAAAATGTGGGAGCTTGTATAGGTCAATCTGCGCGAAGGATGTGAAAATGATCCGTTCTCCTTGTTTTCGATATTTTTCACAACTGAGACATTTGAAGAACTCGCAGTCAATACCAATCTATATACCTCTTTAAAACGAGAAATGGTAGCGAATGGGAGAGGTATGTGGCAAGAGACTCGGAGGTCTATTTCCAAGCGGCCAGGAATAGGAATAAAACAACGGAGCTGGAGGGAGACAACTGTGGCAGAATTGAAAGTATGGTTTGGTCTAATCATCACGATGGGACTTCACCGGGAACCAGCTCTCCCTTTGCACTGGAATAAACGGGCATGAGCAAGCTGGCACCAGATATCCAAAAGGCCAACCCGGGTTCGAGTCCAACAATTATTGGCAAATCGGTGAAATCAATCGCGGTTTCCCCTCTCAAGTTACCGAATTCCTAAAAGTTGTATGTCACTTACTCGATTTTAACAAATCAAATAATATTTTCATGTCGCAGATCCAAGAATAGAGCTTACGGCCAAGCTCTGGTACCACAAGTTAGAGCCTTTGGCTAGTCAACTGCAAGAGCGCTTTCGGCAGTTTTATGTCCCAAGTACCAAGATAACGATAGATGAGATGATGATTCGATTTTGCGGTCAGAGTGCACATACTGTTAAAATAAAAAACAAGCCAATCAAGCAAGGCTACAAGGTCTTTGCATTGTGCTCTCGTGGCTATACCTATGCCTTTTTATGGTACTCGATAGTGCATGGCACTGCAAATCTTGTTAAATTGGATCATTTAACACCTACCGCTTCTGCTGTCTACCAATTGGCCAAGCTGCTGCCAGCAGAGTACTGTTGGAATCTGGTTCTTGACAACTACATTACCAGTGTCCCACTGTTCGAAGAGTTGCGCAAACTAGGTATAGGAGCTGCTGGAACGACACGGGTAGATGCTCGTAGCTTCCCACCTTGCCTGAAAATTGAAAAGGCTGAGGCAAAAAAGAGCTTACCATGGGGTCACCTTAGTGGCGCTGTTGTAGCAAATACTTGCTGCTTGGTTTGCCAGGATAACAATTCTGTTCTTTTCATGACTAGCTATCATGAAATATCCGCTACTGTAAACCATCTCCGACGTCGTCCCAAGAAAACCAGCACAAATGGTACCACTATTCGCCAAATATTTGGTGACAATTGTCACAAACGTGGCTTAGCATGCAAAAGGTTTTCACGTGACACATGTTTATGAGTCACAGGTGTGTTATTGTTTTGCGCATATAACTCATTCAGGTTATATGATTTGTTATGTGTGGGATTTGTGATGCTTTTACACATGGCTCAAGTATGAGTCATGGGATGTGCACCTGGCGAGTATGCCTTGCCAGTGTGCCTTGTGGGTAAGCCTTGCATATATGATTTATGTTTCGCACATGACCTCATTATGAGGTCATGGGTTTCGCGCATATGACTCAGTCGAGTCATATGACTTGTTTATTGCGTTATGATTGGTTTATGAGTTTTTGTACATGACCTTGCTATGAGGTCATGGGTTTTAAGCATGTGATCACTTTGGTCACATGACTAGTTTGTTATGATTTGGTTTCGCAGATGTGACTACTTTAGGTCACATGACTACAGGTAGGAAGCATACTATATAAGGAGGCCGATGCGGCTGAGGAAGATAGGATCTTCATGCTTTGTTCTAAGTACTTTTCCTCGTCCTTGCCGTCGCTTCGCCCCGAGCGTTTCTTTCGCCATCATGATGGGCCTTGATGCCTTTGATTCTGGGGGAGATATCTGAGTTCGCTCAGTAGTTCCTGGGGTCTTTGGTGTTGAGGTCTGTTAGGTGTTGCGTGGCGGATAACTTGTTTGCGTCTTGTTTCGTTGGACTGGTTATCTCACGATACTAGCACTTCGAGCACTCATCACGGTCGCATACGAGCCCCTTTCGGTAAAATGTCTACAGCTTCCTGTCTATTGTCTACTTGCAGGTTTCGCGTTCGATTGGGGGGATTGAACATTGTGTTTGGGGGGATCACCCGTGTTGTTCTTTGGCCCAGCTCATGTCTTTTGTTGGGTTTTAACGGAGTCCTTAGTTCTCGCGATACAAAACGCCCTTGGGTTAGACTGATGACCTTCCCAAGTATCAACACGTCGTACCGGCCGCATCAACCCACTGGAGAGGGGGCCTCGCCTGCCCCCTCCCTCCTCGTTACTATATGTTTCTACAGTCGGGATCCTACGATGTTGTTTATCGCCGTTCCCTTGGAGTTTCTGTCCTTGCGGCATTTACGGCGATTCAGTCAGGTGTCTCCTCCTCGCTCCCATGGGGATGGCGTTGACCCTGAAAAATCTTACCCCTTGGTGTGGTGATTGTTGCTACCTGGGGTGGTGTGGGATGATTGGCTGCCAGACACTCGCATTGTCTGTGCATCTGGGTGGTTCGGTTGTGGTCTGTAGTTGGCGGCTTCACCCATTGCAAGTGGGGCCTACCTCCTGTTTGTCTGCTTCTGTTCGTTCACCCTCCCTCTTCTTGTTGCGTCAGTTGGGGATGCCCTTTGCCTGTTGTTCGGTCCGTGCCTCTTGCCGGACCTGTGGGGCTGGCTTTGGCTGGCTCTGCTTACTCTTTCCCAGCTCGGTTGGATTTTGGTTCGGCTGGGTTGGATGGTGTGGCTGGTGCCTGTGCCTTCGGGTGTTGGTGCTGCCTCCTTTGTGGCTCCCGGCTGTGGCTGGTGGGCTCCCCTCGGCTATACGGTGCTGGCAGTTGGGGCTCTGTTCGTGTGGCCAAGATCAATGGCTGCCTGGCGGGGCTGGGTATAAGCTGTCCTGTGGCCATTGGATGGTTGTTCTGTCTGAGGGGCTGGGGGGGCTGGATGGGCTCTGTGGCGTCTGGTGTGTGGGGCTTGGGAGGGGCTGATTGGGGGGGGAGAGGTACCTGCGAGCACCGGTCGGACATGCATCTGGTTGGGCGATGTCTAATTAAGTGT